TCCCAAGGGAAAAACCCTGCCCAGAAGCTGCACAAGCACAGTGCTCAACACCTCATTTGATGTCCAGAGGTCACCACTGTGAGAAAAGCCAGGGTGACACACCCCAGGAACACCAGACTCCACCGTGGGCACCTTGGGTTCTACACCACTTGGATACAACATTCACATTTTGGAGAAAGGGACAAGTCCAAAGCACAGGATGGATTTTTAAAGTTACATAGCACATGGGGAGTAGATACTGGTCTGTGACTCCATCCCCACAAAGTTTCTTTGCTGGAACCAAGCATATTCAGAGCTCTGGAATACTTGTTTATCAGTACAGCCAAGGCTTTAAAAAGGCATTATCACCCAACACCCTAACAGTGACACACCTCAGGAATTATTAATTTGGAAACTAATGAGATTCTCATACACAGTATCTTCAAATCCTGCTACCTGTGAGGACTATATAGATATATACTTATTCATCTATACATATATATAGATAATTTTTTATATAAAATCAATATTTAGAAGGTATAAATATTGGTGCCATTATTCTGTCAGTCTAATTTCTCTCTATTAGATAAAACTCAAAGTGTCTGAGACCAAAAAGAGACATCAGTGTTCAACACCAAGGCAGACCTTGGCATTCCTGCCAGCCCAGCAGCAGGATGGACACCAGGCACAGCACCACCCCAGCTCCCAGACTCACACAAGGACTCCAGTCCCTCCAGTAAAACCAGTGTCAGTTTTCACTTTTTTTTTTAGCTCCCACACACAAAGCTGCAGGATGGATCTCCACACTCAACAAGGCAGTGCCCTGGAATGACTTATTGGCACAGTTCTCCCACGATGGTGCCTCACCCTCATTTTCAGGGAGCACAAGGGACTCCAGCAGCAACACACACCTTCCTGTGCAAACACTGCCTCCTAAAGATAGCTGGGAAGGAAGGAGGGATGGACCATCCTTCTGCATTTTCAAAAGGGGAAGTCAAGAACCAGCTGAAACCCTGGGGAAAGCCGCGTTAGCTCATTTCCCCATTTTGGCCCTTTCTAGCAGCAATTGTGACACTGGCTGCTGCCCTGCTGACAACCTCTTCATGGAGGTGCATTAACTAAGCATGGTTGGTAAAGTTATCAGCACTGAAATACACCCATGTGTGTCACTGGGGACACAGCCCAACCAGCTGAGAGTTAACAGGTAAAGTCAACAGGCTCGTTCCCACAGGGCTGTTTGCTGAGGCAGGAAGGCAGCAGCACAACATCCATCACCACCACTTCCCACCTGAAGAGCTGGAAGGTACCACCAGGATAAGCATTTTCACTATGGCTCAGTGTGGAGCTCACCTTGCTCCTACTGACATCAACAGCAGAAGGCCCAAAAAGCTAAGGGGGAGCACCTGGATCTGCACAGAGCAGTTGTGACAACACCAGCAGGGCTCCTACAGCTTCCCTGCCTCCAGTGACACAGCACCTGCTGCTCTGAATTCAGCTGCTGCATTTCAAGCTGCTCCCAAGGAACAGACACCCTGTATCCAACTGAATTGAAGGCTTTCAAATTCTCCTTGAAGATACAAACACCTCACCCACAAGGAGCTGGATTTCCATCTGAAAGGCATGACTGGAACTTACTTCCTTGGCTTGGAATGAGTAACTACTCTGCAACATGCCCTGCCTACCTACAGAATTACTGCTAGGAATCAGTTTGTTGTAAAAGGTGTAAACATACACTTCATGGACAGTCATGAAAACCACCAGCAAGGTCTTTATTTCTCAGTCAGGGAGGAAGGTTTACTATTTGTGCATAACACAGCCATCCCAAACTCATGCCAATAAAATAGAAACCTTTACAATAAACTGTATCTTCTCCATAGAGATTATCTTAGAACCAGAACTTTACATCTCTTACAGTGTAACTTTAAAAAAAAAAGTGTACATAAAACTCTTACATGATTTGGGGCATCACTAGGACTACAGAGGACTTGTGATATAGTGGGACTAATACCAGCTAGTAGCATCTGTTTCATTGCTAGTTCCAGCAGCCTTCAGGGGAAAAGTGCTCTCAGAAGTCCAAGCAACTTTTTCCTATGTTAGAACTGCAAGACCAGACCCCATCATATATAAACCTCTGATAAAACATGCAACTCACAGCTCTGAATTAACAGAACAAACTATAACAGGGTTTGATTTAAAGGGATTCCTAATCCACACACTGAAATACTGACCATTTCACAGTCCATCTCATTAAGGTGTACTAAGGGGTCAAAGTGAACCAGTTCATCTTTTATTTATGAAAAACACATTAATTGTGAGTTGTCATAGGAAAAAATTAGTTCAAATATACAGATACTATTGTCCAATCAGCCATTAAAGGAATATGAACCAAAAATTAAGGATTTCCCCCCTCGTCCCCAAAGTAAAACTAACAAAATGAACTAATTGGAGGAATTTTTCTTCATGACAAAAGCTGAAATGCTTTCAGGTTGAGTGAAATTCAGCTTTATTGGGAAATCCCAACAGCCTCTGTTAAGTCCCTGTTGCTTTAAAACCCTGTTCATCTCCTCAGCATTGCTGCATGGAATTCAGTCCTCATCATATATTCCAGAGTAAAACCAGCCACTCCAAATCTGCAGTCATTCTTTCAAGTCAATTCACAGAACTGCTGAAAAAAAGTAGACATTTCTATCTAAAATACAAAAAGGGTTTGTATAGAAGGTACTTCTCTTATACAGTTATATTACACAGTCCCAGCAGGCTCTTCTCAGAACTGGAAGTTTCTGCCTAGATAAGAAAAATGACAAAACTGAGTTAGTTTCATTGCAGCTCTGGATCTTATTACAAATACACATAGTTTGTGTTATCTTCTTGAGTTCTTTAGGCCTAGAAGCAGAATGCATGCAGAAGCTGAATATTGCTCTCAATAAATAACAGATTAAATGTGTGCTTGAGTGGCCTCTGTAGGAATGTAGATCAAATTATTTGCTTTAGGATCAATTCAGTGGATGGCCTGAAGTATCCAAAAACCCAAATCACTGCAACAGCAAATCCTGCAGCTGTTGCTCATGTTTCCATGACCTTCAATGGACAAGTGAGATGGCTTTTCACACCTCCAGTGGGTGAAGTGCTTCCCACCTCACTATGTGTTCTCCTGCCATGTGCAGTTTTATGACAAATATTCCCAGAGAAGATGAATATTTATTACAGAGACAACTGCTGTACTTGCAGGTCTCAGAGCACAGACACTGTTGTGTCAGTCTCTGCCAGTTTCCATCAAATAATTCCTGGATTTATCCCTTCAGCCCCTCATCCTGGTGCTCTCAGCAGCAGGACAGCTGCTCTCCCTGCTCTCCAACACCAAAGTGGCATTTTTAGGAATAAGTGAAGTTAAAAATGGCACAGGAGAAAGATCCAGACATTTTTGCATTGTCAATTAAACCAAGCTTTTCTGAAGTTAATGGAAAAGACAAAAAACTTTTAAAGGAAGCTAGTTTGTCATCACAACCAACAGCTTCAAGTGTCTCAAGCTTACACAATGTTGCAACATGGTGAAGAGCTTTCCTGCCCACCTACAATTTGGAAATATTTAGGCTTTATAAAGAACAATAATGCTCTTTCACAGCACCCTCTCAGGGCTCTTCCTAAGCACTAATTTCCTAAGCTTTCATTTGCTCTGCCTCTGAGCTATGTCATCACCATCATCCATCTTTATCTAAAGGCCACCTTTTCCCAGGACTGACTGCCTCACAAATGCCTTGTGCTCCACATTCTCTTGGATAAGGCAGATGAAAACATCCTGCATTTTATAGGACAGAACTGAGACAAAGAATTCACAAGGAGTGACACCTTCTGGCATTCAGTCCTGCACCTCAGCCCTCTTCTCCCCACCCCAAAATATAACAATGTCAGTCCTTGACAGGCACTGACTTGAAATACTCAATTCTTTTACCCAGGATTGATGAGGTCTACCACGTTGGGTCTGGTTCTTGCTTTATTTGAGGATTTTCTTCTGATTTTGTAACACTGTTGAAAAAGCAGAAATGAGTGAAGAAAGAAGGAAACTTCTCTACCCATTTTGTTGCTCTTGCTGTACTTCCTAGGTAAAAAAATATGATAAGGACTAATTTATCATTTTAAACTATTGATGATAAATAAATGTTCACAACAATCTGATTCTGCAGAAACTACCACGTCCATTTCCATGTAAAGCAGCCTGGGATCTTAGGGAACTCTAGTTTTTTAAAGAATATAAATAAAAATTGGTATTAGAACTGTAGGAAACATTAAAATTATTTTTAGGTAGCTGAAAAACTCAGTGGGCAAGAAAGGAGCTTAATCCAAAAAGGAAACAACATATAACCAGTGAAAAAATGTCAGCTGTCTCCCTGGTTTGGGTATTAAATGAACATGCATTGCACCAACTCCTGCTTTCACAGCACTGACTGCTCTTCAGCATTTTCCCATCCTTAGGACAGCTGCTTTCCTCAATATTGGCTTTTGCATTCTTATATTTTAATCTGTCCAAAGCAAAATTTGACCCTAGTTAATTTCTTCAATGCCCAGCACCACACAGAAAGGCATGATGATTTGAATCATAGAATGGTTTGGGTTGGAAAGGACCTTAAAGACCACCTAGATCCAACCCCCCTGTGTTGACAGGGACACCTCCCACTAGACCAGGTTGCTCAGAGCCCCATCCAACCTTGAAACAAGTAAGAGAGAAAGAAATTGTATCTTGTTAGCTAAAGCATTCATCATTTTTGCATATTTTTTTCATTTCCAGAAGACCTCATCACAACATCTTTGCTTTTTCTTGTTCACAGGGAAGCCTGGAGGTAAATCAAAGACATCTCCTGCCTGTATAACCCACAGCCTGATTTGTGTTCTTTTAATAAACAGACAACGTGATGTTGGAAGGAAATTGGTTGTTCCCTGAAGCTGTGGGAAAGGTTTAGGGCCTGATTCATTCACCACTACAAAGCCAAGCCATTTCACTGGATGATCATTTGATACCTCTCAGCCTAGTTCTGAAGCATTTTTGAGTTCTTCAGCAATTCCATGGCTTTTCTCAGGACCATTGTTCTGGTAACTGGGTCTGAATCTAGTTTTGGATGACAAATTCAAAACCACATTCATCTGTTTCTTCAAAAGCATCACTTTGCAGGCCCAGAGGTAATTTCCTCCACATGAAGGTGTTCAGGAACAAGTGTCTCTCTCCTCCATCAGCTAACAATTGTAGTTATCCCACAGAGTCTTGGCATTATAAAGACATTGGATGTTTCAGATTCCAGTAACTGTGCACTAAAAATCTGCAGCTCAGCTCTTCTGTGACTCTTGTTGTCTTGAATAGTGCAACAAGATTCACCTACATTCTAAGAAAGACCCACTGGGAAATGGTGTGAGCCTGTCAGGGAGGATGCAGCTGCAGCTCTGGTTGAGTGGCCTGTCCCCAAGTTCAGTGAGATGCCAGGGAAAATGAATCAGTGGAGATGGGAAAGGGCATTTCCCCAGGAAAGGATGTAAGAGAGCAGGAGTGCTGCAACTCCCTGCTTTCTCTTCTGAGGGAAAGCTGTGGCTGCCCCATCCCTGGCAGTGTTGAAGGGCAGGTTGGATGGGGCTTGGAGCAACCTGGGCTGGTGGGAGGTGTCCCTGCCCATGCAGGGGGTTGGATTTGGATGATCTTTAGGGAGCTTTCCAATCCAAACCAGCCTGTGATTCCCTGGCATTCACATTTCCTGAGGATGGCAACCGTTCACTTACATAAACTGTGGAAACTACTGCACTGAATAATTAGCTGCATCACTCAGGAGATGAACAATCCCTCATTGCGTATAAATACAGTAATTTCTCACCAACCAAGAACAACAATTCATAAAACTCTCTAAATTCTTTGAATAATAACTTTTCCTGCAGATTATTTTTCACATGATGCAGCATAATATTAACACAGATGAAAAACTGCCCTGGGAACAAATAAAAGACTTTTTATTTGTTTTGACTCACCTGTCTCCTTTAAAAAAAATACAGGTTTGTTCAAAAGTACTTAAAAATATTTGTTGGTAATAACTGAAGACAAACTCTTACCTCTTGCAGGTGCTTCTACTTGGCTTGGTTCAGCTGGCTCTTAAATGAAAACAAATACCATAAAATGACTATGAATATAGTTGCAGCAATAAGAATCAGGTAAGTATCTTAGAAAAATTAGGAAAAAAAAAGCACCTCATTTTTTTCTTTTATTATCAGACTCAAGTATCTCTCTCTGAAATAAATGTGCATAACTTTCTGTAGAGTCTGCAGCAAAATATAAATAATAAATAATGTAATTTATTACATTTTACTACCTAACACTTTCCCTTCTGAGTATGGTTCACTGTGGAGACTTATGACCAAGTCCTAGCAGAACATAATGTGTACTTGCAGAGAATATACCCAGTTTGGTCCATCTTTGCTAAAAACAATTAAATATAAAACTAGATTTCAAAAAGCCACTACCTCTGGTTAGTATTGTCATCAATGGCAAGCATGTGTATTTTGGGGGAGAGCAGGAAGGTGAAAAACAGAGGGCAAATGTTTTATTCCATAGGGATTACAGCCAGAAAGGTGCTGGGATTAAGGACAGACTGAAGAAAGGTCACTGATCATCAACAGCTGTTTGTCTCCCCCCCTATGTTAACAGAGGAGCCAGTAGCTTCTTTTATGTCTATCATACAAGTGCCTCTTATTCTTAAAATTATTTTCCCTTAGTTTCTCAGTTTGAGTCACAGTTTATTCAGTTAATTCCAAGTCTTTCCTGCACTACACCAACTTGGGATATGCATTTTTCAAAGGTCTGTGAACATATAGGATCTGTATGAGGTCAAAAGGACCATAAATACGTTTACTTTAACTACTCATAGAATAAAGGTAACTTCTTCACAGTCCAGACCCAGCCCAGCAGAGCCTTCAGAGCTGTGCAGTGGGCAGAAATCCCACCAAGACTCCATGTCAGGTCCTTACAGTTACACAGGCAAACCCAACTTGGCTAAATACACACACTTTGAACTAAGCAGACATCAATAAATGGATACTGAATTGGCTTTTATATATTGCCCCTACTAATCCTTCTTTTCAGCTCACTCATCATGTGCAAAAAAATCAAATCAAAGCACAAGCCAATGGCACAGCTTGAAGGAAGCAAGGATTCTATTAATGTATTCATATTTAATGGCTATAAAAGTCACCATCACACACCATCTGTCAAAATAAAATGGCTCATCATGAGCAGAACATCACCACTAATATCATCTGTCAATAGGATGGAGAAGTCCATACCCCACCCCTTCTGTAAGGACATGGGTCATGCTCTGCATCACCTGGTGGTGCTGGGGCTGGTGCTTCTGCTTCAGCTTTTTCCATCACCTCTAAGATGAGACATGATCACAGTTTTAACTGCACAATGAAAACAGCCCCACATGTAACACAAGGTCGATCTTACTTCTTGAATCTACAAATCCTGAAACTTGCCCCACAAACAGGTTACAACTGCAATTCAGTATTTTATAGTGCAGAAAAAACTCATCTTGCCTGCAAGTACTTTTCTTGCAAGTTCTCACATATTCTCCAGAACAAGAACAAAGCATCATAACTAAAGCAGCAGGCTCAGAGCCTTTCAGTCATTCACCTCAGTATCTGTCAATACCAGATCCTTTCCATCACCATGAATGAACATGGACACTGCATAAAAATCCCATGTTCAATGACCAATCTGTTCCTCCAGTGATGGAAGATGACTGGGTACCTGTGTTGGTTTTATTCAGCACATCATCTAGCCCCAGTTCCAGCACATGCTGGAAGTTCAGCTGGGCAGACAACAATTTAACAGATCCCCCATTTCTAATTCCAGTCTAATTTCCAGCATGGAAATACTATTATGCATTTATCTGCCTGGAAGGTTCCATCTTCCAAAGGGACCTCCTTCCCACCTAAGAAGGTGTGCCTAGGACTGGTGTGAGTTACCATCTCTAACACCTTCCTGAGCTCACTTCACATGTGCAGTTCCCAGAGCTCAGCCTGAAAGCTGGAATACAGTGGTGGCTGGATGCAGAGGAACCAAGGCTGGGTCACCCTGGCTTGGGCTGGGCAAGGTCAGACTAAGGGCTGTGGGTTATTTGGCTTCTGAATTTCTGGCTTGACATTAACTCTGAAAGGACCTGACAGCAGGGACCCTGCACTGACAGCATTCTGCAGTTGGCTTTTTCTCTGATTTATGATATAAAAAAAGAGGTCACGATTATTTTAGGGAACTGAAAAAATTAAGACCTTTTTTTTTCCCAAAAAACCCAATTTCATTCATACACACAGCACTTCAGGTAATCACCCTCTGCCTCTCTAGACTGTTCCAGCTTTGGCAGATTGAAGGATTTTTCACTGGAACACAGTTGTGGAGCTATTGGAAAGTTCTTGCTTATTAACTGCTACCATGATGGCTCAAACCTAAACTGCAGGCACTGTCCTGCCAGCCTGTTGCTCAGTCAGGTCCAAAATCTCTCTGGGACTCTTCAGCTGAAAAATACAAACCCAGCATCTTGCACGTTCACATCAAAGTTAAGGCTAATCTTGTACTGCTCTGAAAATTCATCACACTGCTCTCAATTTAACTGCACATGCATTTTTAGCCCAGAAATTTAAAGAGAGACACAGACAAGAGAGTTATACATAGAACTTAACCACTGCTGAGCTGCTGCCACCGAGTCAAGACACAGAACCCAAATCTTGGTAAGTTACAAAAACATACTTGCCATCAATGTTTTATAAATACTTACCACTGTTAATCACAAGTCCTGGAAATTCTGAAAAAAAAAAGAAAGAAAATTAAAAGTGGAAAATGTACTGAGTCTACAATACATTGCAGGGGGGTTCCCTCCTCAGGCAGCATCACCTAATGGTTTGTGACAGAGATCATGCTAAAAATGAACAGAAAGTCAAACAAACCAGAAGGAACCTTCACAGCAGCTCCTGGTTTGTTCACCAACCTTCCAGTGCCTGAAGGGGCTCCAGGAAAGCTGTGGAGGGGCTTTTCACCAGAGTGGGCAGTGATAGGACAAGGGATAATGGTTTTAAACTGAAAGAGGGGAGATTTAGGTAAGACATCAGGAAGAAATTCTTCACCCTGAGGTTAGTAAGGTGCTGGAATAGTTTGCCCAGGGAGGCTGTGGCTGCCCCATCCCTGGAGGTGTTCAAGGTCAGGTTGGATGAGACTTGTGCAGCCTGGTCTGGTGGGAGGTGTCCCTGCCCATGGCAGGGAGGTTGGAACCTGATGGTCTTTAAGGTCCTTTCCAACCTTCACCATTCTGTGATTCTATGATTTTGGAAAGTAACATACTCAGAAAAATCCCAAAGTTTCACCTATTCTGCTTCATGCACACAAATATGCTTTGTGTGTGTGTCTATGTCTACGCAAATATACATGCACAAATAAAACTCACTTCTGTTGTAATTGGGCAATATTGCAATGGGATAATATTATATTTTTAAATATTGTAGATAAACCCATTTTGCAGGAAAAAATCCATTTATCAAAGAGCTTACATTAACTCAGAAATGTTAACACAACTGAAATACTTCAAAAGTATCAGTATTGATACTACTACAAGCATCCTATTTGCTGCCAAGAGCTGACAAGCTCTGGATCTGTCTCCAAATTTGATCTGATAAATGGGACAGTGAGGCCCACAACACTTTTGAGGACACTCCTCACCCACATGAAGAGATTTCAACCCAAACCAAATTTGATCTGATAAATGGGACAGTGAGGTCCACAACACTTTTGAGGACACTCCTCAGGCAGCTTGCTGTAATAGGCAGTATTAGTAACATGCCCTTTGTCAGACTAAATTGGACAGCACCTCCAAAGAAACACTATCTATGAACATTTGGGCTTCATTTGACTTGACATTGTTTCCAAAAAAAAACATCTTCCATTCTTTAAAGATGCAACCTCTGTTCTTTCCAATCTCCATTTGTTCTCTCAACCCCTGCATCATCTGATCAATGGCAATGATGTACCTGATGATAGTAAATTTGATTGAATGTGGTGATGCCAAAATCCTCCTCATGGAGCTGATTTCCAGGTAACTGGGAGCTTTGAAGGCCACACCAGGAGGCAATCCATCCACCTCCACACAGCCAGGGTTGATAGTGATTTTCCTGTATGGGACCTTCACAGGAAAATTCATACCAATGGCTTCACCTGAGTGAGAGAGGTCATGTTTGTTTCCAAGTCTACATATTTATGGTTACACTGATTAAGAAACTAAGTGCAAACCCAAGCTTTCTAGCCCATCTGAAGCTGTGAAGATTCTCTTGACAACTTAACCATTACAGTGTTGGATAGAGATGTTTGGATTCCACTCTGCTACACCAGAGCATTAGGTACAGCTCTGCCTCACCATATAAAGAACCCAGGCTGTGTTTCACTGAAAAATGTAGAGAACAGGACACCTAAGAGCTACATGAAGGAAAACCAAGTGTTTCCTGCTATGCCATGAAAAGCAATTCAACACAGCACTAGTGAAGGACTTTCAGGTAAAGAAACCCAGACCATTATTGCTGTACAATAGAAACAGAGTGTAAAAATAAAGTACATGCAGCAAAAAGGTTAAGCTGCTTTTTAAAAAATAATCTAGTCCCACCTTATTAGGTCAGGACTATGAAGCTCTAAGAAGAATCACGGATTGCCAGCAAAAGAAATATTTCATCCATGCTTCCACAGGAAGAAGCAGGAAGCAGAGGGAACATAAAACAATCTATACTCTTGGGACATGTTGTTTAAAGTACCCAACAACCTCCATCACTTATGAAATCTGCTTCTTGAAGTCAAAGCACAACATTCATACACAATTCCTGAATCTGTTCATTTCAATGATCACATATAACCACTGTGATGACTCAGGAAGTTTGATACCAACAACCTTAAGCATACTCACAGCTACTGTAGAAATGGGGAGTAAGAAGCAATTACCAAATTTTCTGCTGAAAAGGTCATTTACTTGCTCTCTCAAGTGCCTGGCATTTTCTACTTTTGAGACTCTTTCATCATCTGGAAAAGAAATATTAGAACTGCATCAGAATTACAGCACATTTTCCCCCCACCCCCCAAAGCTTATCATTGCATGTCTATTCAAAGCAGGGAAATCTGAGTGCTTCAGAATGGGACTCTTTGTTCCTAGTTTTAGCAGTACCACAGAATCATCTAAACACACAAAACCAAATGGTTGCCAAGAAATCTGTGAGGAGCTTCCAAGTATTTCCATAACCAACATTAGATTTACTGTCTTCAAGATGACTTTGTAAACTGAATCTAAACCCACAAATTATACTTGATTTTCTTACAGCACTTTTAATGGTGGGGAAAGTTAAAAGCAAAGTGACCACTCAATAGATGCCACGTTCCTCACAGCTCCTGATGAATGGAATGTGTGCCTGAGGAAGCTGTAAGCAGTGTTAAGATGCAGCAGTTCAGTCTTTGTGGTTAAGTCAATTCAGTCCAGGTTCTGATCTCTTGAAGTTGCCAAGAAAATATCAAATTAATATTTACTGCATGAGAAAAACAAGGGAAAAATGTGGATACTTAACTAGGGGCTGGACCAATAATATTCTAGGGATGTCACTGAATTCATGTGTTAGAAATTCAGATTAATCTGAATTTTAGACATTTTCATGTTAGAAATTAATGGCTCAAAGTCCAGATTTAATGACTTAATGTCCAGATGAAGAACATCTCAGCACAAAGAGAATGCTAAATTATGTTCTTTTGGATTGCACTTGTATTTCAGTGAACCAGCTTCACTGTAGGAAAAAACTTCCTCAGACTGAACAGCCAAAGAACATAAGCACAAAATGATGATGTAAATCCAACCAGTACACACACCTGGGATGGTCACTTGAATGACGTCAAGATCTTCCACACCTGCAGCTGTGTTCACCACTGTGGTTGGTCTGGTACTTGCTGTTTTGGCTGTATCAGATGAATTTTTTTCTCAAAAAGAAAAAAAATCATTATGAAATAAAAAAATCTTGGAATTATATATAAAGAAAATCCTGGAAAATAACAGATATCTGCTAAGTTTTCAAAGTGGACCCAGTTCCATTTTCAAAATGGGACCAGCTTCCAATGAAGCACTTACTGAAGGTGGGCACTACTCTGTCTTCCTAACCCAAGAGGA